TGTAGCTGGCTAATTCAGTAGCTGTTGTTGTAAAGATGTGCTGTGTTTGTGTCCATCCCCGTCTCAGCGCCTCAGTGGAGGGGAGGCATTGCCAGGGCTCGGGTGCCTGCACTGCCAGATCCATAGAGTGAGCAACACGTTGGTGTCCCTGACTGATTTCATCTGGACGCTCCCACCCTTCCCCTGGCTGTACAGCGTGTACGTGCTAGTCAGACTGGGGAAAGCCATCATGGCTGTGGCCTTGTACCAGAGATATGTTCTGTTTTTCCACGAGAAGTACCTACTTTGCCAGGAAAAGTATCTGTTGTTCCTTCCAGGCACCATCAGGCATCAGGTTGGCTTTACTGGTCCATATAATATCACGTCTGAAAATGTTTATGTGTAAACATGTGATTTGTCGGTATCATCTGTTTTATTCCAGCTGTGCAATATTTTCAATTTTAACTTGTTTTATCTTTCACTTTCAATTTTAAGTTTCACTTTTCATCTGAATCTGTGCAATAATGTATAATATTATGCCATGTGAAATTTGTTTTGCTGAAATGATGCCAAACATGTTTTTAGTTGGCCATGCATGCATAATGCAGTCAAACTGCACTGTAAAGAATGTGACATTGCAAGATTGCTAGAGAGGTGATGTGACACTGATAGCAAGTATTATTATTGGCAATCTTTAAAAACCAACTCTTTCCAATGATGTCTTAATTTATTTCTTGCCTGCATGTATAAGTTTTCAAAATTTTGTATATACAGTACGTACTACGCTTTTATGTTTATTTATATGTTGTTTGTAGAGTGTCAGTGGAACAGGAAATGTAAATGTCAACTGTCATTTCTTATAATATTAATGTCAATGTAAGGATGTATCCACTTAAATAAGTCTACATTTGTACATCATCATGTTACATATTCATGTTTCCAAGTCCATGAAAAAGACTGCTTATTTGAATGCATTTGTCCACCAGCCCAGATTAGTACATCATACTACTACATGGTACAGTAATTTTCCACACATGCCTTGTAAGGTGATGGAATATTCCACTGCCTCCTCCAGGGTTCTCACATGACATCTGGGTGATGGAATATTCCATCGTGTCGCTGTTTTACTATGGTAGAGTTGGACTGTAAAATTCTATGTTGTAGAATAAACTAACACTGTGAACTGAAATGTTGGCTGGTTGACTCTGAATGTGTGGTTGGCTGGTTGACTCTGAATTGTTTTGGGGTCAAAAGGGCAAGAGGTCACCAGTGTCAGTGGCCATCACAATCAAATCACCAGGAAAAGGGATGCAAAAGATTTTTGTGCAGAAATTTTATGACATTTTGTTGATGTGAATGAGTTACTATTATAAATAGTCATTTTAACTTCCTCAAATGTCAAAAGGGGCTTTTTTGTTGCAACAAACTAGTGCAGGTCAGCAACAAAACAAAAACAACATAAATCATAAAATTCTACTTACTAAACAAGGCCTAACATAACTAAATCTATATGTTTTGTTACAATCAGATGGGTCCAACTATGAGTTTCATAATCTTTTAAAATATAATATGTCATAAAATCAATTTAAATCCTATTCAGGTGTTTTTTTCTATAATATGCTAACGTAAACAATAGACTGGGTTGTCCATCAACATTTCTCAGTACATTCTAGGTAAAATCAATAAAGTTTAAAGTATTACACACTCCTTACGAAGTCAAGCAGATCTGTTTCATTACTGACCTGTGAAAGTTGAAATCCTGTTCAAGTTGTCTGTCAACATTTCCTCTCATTCTTTGCTGGGGTAAGATCAATAAGATTTATTACAAATTCATGCTCTAGGGTCCAATTGCAAAAACAAGCACAGTAACTAACAGTAACAGTACATAAACCAATAATGGTAAGCAGCAACAGACCCACTATGTGTTGGTTCTTCTCACCTGTAATCGTGCGAAAGGTAGGATTTATTCTGGACATTCTTGTGAAAATGATTTTATAATCAAGTGAGTGAATCACCAAGTAAACATCAGTAACTACTAGTAATCCATAATCAGCCAGTACGTTCAGGCTAACCATGGCTTCTGTATGTTTCTGTAGGCGGAGGCCTTCGCTGACCTCCCAGGTAACCTGCTCGGCCTGGCTCGTGCCCAGCTCGACACAGTTTCCGACACGTTGCTAACGGTGACAGAGTACATGCTCAACCTGGCCCCCCTCCAGTGGCTGGTGAGTGGAATGTACTTATTCTGTAGCCACCTGTTGTTACTTGAGATAGCAGAATGTAGCATTTCAACAAACTGACTGCACTTCATCAAAAAGTATAGTAGGATGCACTAGAGAAATACCGATAAGAGAAAAGCACGTTTTGGGTACAAACTAGATAACAAACTACAAAATATGAAAAGTGAAAAGGATGGAAATGAAAAATTACAAGGGGCATTTCCCCAGTATAATTCACCTATAAATACTGTACATTATGTCTGTCTTCTCTGTCACAACCTGTGGAGTTTGAGATCACTTTCTGTTTTTCCCTAACTTGTTCAGATTACCTGACTCAGTGAGATACTGGTTGATACTGATTTTCTAACTGGCATCTTATCTTTTGACATGCATGTACACCTTGGTACAGATCTCCAGAACCAAGGTTTAAATAAATCATACCTGTTTGTCCAAACCGAACATTTTGTTTCTGCAGATTCCAGACGTGTGCTTGGTCGACCTCGAAAATATAGACTTTGGCTTTGACGAAATATTTGAGGATTTGGAACTCAATGACGGAGGTGGCGGGGTGTACGTGCCATACTTCCATCCCAGGAGACCTATACATGGAGCATGATGGGAAGGGACAATCCCCAGGACATGCTGATGTGGAAAGTGTTGTAAAGCCGTACATGTAGAATAAGACATGACTGAACAGATAAAATCTGTGAAGTCTGCACTGTGCCAGCTTCTCACTCACTCCAACTCAAAGGACACCAAGTGCCCAGGGAGGATGCCTTCTTCAGCTAGTGATGAATTTGAACATTCCTAAAATCATTTTCATCAGAGAAATAGGAACCAAATGTTATAACCGGAACATCCTTCCTTATCTTTGTTTCTGCTTGCTTTGTACACAAACAAGCTGCAGTTTCAAACCAACCCATATAATGAAACATTTCTCCTTGCCAGTTCCTGACTTTTAAAAATTTAATGTTAACTTAAGTGCTGTATGTCAAATGTAAAGTTTTCAATCATTCCAATTTGTACTTTTTTATGGGTTTCTAAAATGATTGTATTTGTACATGTACAGGTTATGTCCCAGGTGCACCGGCAAGCATAAGTGCATGTCATAGCTTAGGCCACACCAATTTAATTTCTTGGTTAACGGATTCGCCGCTTCATTTTTTTCTGATTTGCAAATAAAAATAAAAATTCAGAATCAACTGCAAAATGCTCATATTTTTCCCTGAACAGTTGAAAACAGTCCTTTTCTTACTACTTGTTACATTTATTCCATCTTTCAATGCAGTGGTATCATTAAAAGTTCAAAATTCATTGTTTAAATTTTGAACCAGCCTGGTGTGTTGACTTCATAGCTCCTATCATACCATTTTGGGCCATAATAGGATGCCTAGGCCTGTTTTTATTTTTTATTTTTTCGCCCGCCCGCTCCATTATTTTCCTAGAAAAATCCGTAAACCAAGAAATTAAATTGGTGTGGCCTTAGTGCTATTATATTATACATGTACCTCAGAAAAATCAAGTGTAAAAAAGAAAATTTGAGTGTTTACCGGTATATAACATGCTACTCTTACATAACTGCAGTTATGGATAATATCTCTGTATGACAGACTCATTTAGCTTTTATGTTTTAAATTAACTATTGCTCTTGTCTGTTAAGATGTAAAATGTTTGTAATATATGCATAATATAGACCTTAACTTGTGGATCAAGTTTCTGTGGATGAAAGGGTTAGAATGATATGTGATGGGATAGATTTTATTCTAACACTAAAAAAAGGTTAAGAGCTAAAAGATAATTTTATGAATACTTGAATATTGCTGTTGTTTGTTTGTATCTAGCCTGTGTATTTTAAATACTATATTTTGTTTTATATAAATCAGAATTATTATTGGTTTGAAAAGCTTATGATAACCATTATTACTTGAGAAGTTCACAAATGAAAAGGAAAGATTTGAGAAGGTACGAGATGTGATGTGATGAGAGATGACAGTGAAAAAGAGGTGCAATGTAGGAATGGTCCTTTAAAAAGGCACACAAAGTATGTGTACTATTAACATAAAAGTTCATTGGTGTTGGCATATAACATTATGGAAAAGGATTTAACTTCATTCCAATACAAAACTGTAAAAGAGTGAACTTACTACCAACTTTGAGGCTTGACCATGTCACACATCCAGAAGGTCAAGTGTGCTGAGCAGTCTGGTCCTCCAGAGGACTGATCAAAACTTTGCTGAGTCACTCTGGTGTTGGAATGAAGTTCCCAAAACAACAATGTGTACATAAGGAAAGGTTTTACCTTGATGCAGGTTTGGAGAATGAGAGAGTTTACATTAAGGCAGATAGGTATGAGAACCTGGCATGCTGTTTATGTGCAATTACCAACTCAGGAGACCTGTGTTAGTTTGGCAGGATTTAGGGCTTGATCAGCCTGTTGGCTGGTAATTGTGCTCACCTATGGAAAAGGTAAGACAGGGACAGTGGAGATCATCATATGTCTTAATGTGTGTTTAATCACAAAAAGTTGAAAAACTGTACCATAGCCCAACTAAGTTCATGACATTGTTATTGTACATGTGCTCAAAGTTTGTAACATTAAATAGTTGGTGTAAAAGCTGGCTTCTGGATTGAGCAAATTATACTAGCCTTACCCATGACGGCCAAGAGTTACATCAGTTTGATTTTTATACTTTCAAGTTCAATATTTCAACTCAATACACGAAACAACAACTGGAATCATAAAGAGCTTCTCTCTTGTGGAAAGACAACTCACAATATATACAGTTGCTTATAGCACCTTCAGGGTAATGTTAGGTGGGCTGGGAGAACTGCAGGAATCCAATTCCTTATCCTCTCCCAGCAGTATGAACACGAGAAATAGTGATAAAGGGCTTGTGTTTCAAGAACAATGATTATTTATCAGAGTAAACAGAGTGACCTTGCCAAACCTGACTCATAATTACATGTCACATTGTCAGTCACAAGTCTCTAGTATAGAGTAATAAGTTCATTGTATTTTGCAGTTAACAACCTGTCATTACCAAGGAATTTATCTAAAGTACATGTGCTTGGTGGACTCAAAAAACAATATTGGAAGTAGAATAAGACACTTTTTCAACAGAAGTACCCCGGTATCTTTACAAATACAATGTATCTAAATAAAAGTATGCAATGTCATAACTAGGCTTTAAGAACATACATTTTGGCCTCATCCTTGCATTCAGTTGTCACCTCATCAGGGTTTGTATGGATAGGTGGTGCCTTCTAGAGTTGTGGTATAAATGTAATAAGAGGGGGAAAGTGTTCCACAGCACCACAGGCTGGCCATTATTGTGTCTTGGAGCAGGGCAGGAGTCTGGTAAATGTAAAGATGTCTGCTATCCAAACAGCAGCAGAAGCACTATAGTTATAGTGTTCACAATAATCAGGGGTACTGCAAAAAACAAAACACTTATAAGTACCACACGTGTATAAATGCCATAGATAAACTTAAGGCACCAACAAACAGGAATATGTCACAGCAGACAGATCAACAAGTTACAATGATAATAACTTTGTAATTAAAGAAAATAACTTGAAATGGGATTGTGGACATCTGATTTCTTTGTGTGGCCACCTGCACAAATTAGCCCCCTCCCTCCAGCAGGACTCCAATGGGATGGGGATAAGTTATATGGCCTGGTTACCAAACCTATTTTAGCTCCTGAGTCCTACATCCTCTCCGCAAATATTTGTGGAGAGGATGTAGGTCTAGGGAGCTAAAATAAGTTTGGTAACCAGGCTATAACTTGTGCAGATCATGGTAGTTGAGAGGTGGAGGACTGGCCTAACTAAAGTCTAGTGAAACAACGTGCAACAACGTGTTTGGCTGGCCAGCACTATTCAGCACAGATAGTAGGCATACATGTAGCTAGGGCCACGCTTGCCGTTGCATACTACATAACGTATGTACAAGAAGCAGTAGGCCTGGCAGCCTAGTGGCAGGAGAAGATGTGGACAGGCTGAATCAATATTACATCATACTTACTCCTCATGACCATGCGCACTGATCTGATGAGGTTGATGATCTGAGACTTCATCCCAGGCTGCTCCCCGAAGCCACTGACTGTGTCTGTGGCCCATCCAACTACAACACAAACACACAACATACAAACATGGCTCAACACTACAGGCAATGTTACTACATCTCGCGAACCTTTCCCCATAATTATGCAAAAGAAACTTTACCGTAACACTGATCTGAAGTGGCACATATACATGTACATGTATAACGTTACATATATAAGTTACATTCGACTTGCAGCAAACCGCATTTTTCTTCGCCCGCGCGCACTAGTTTGGGGGTCTTCAGAGGATGTCATCCATAAAATTTAGTCACTGTGGCCTTGATAATGGAGGGGGGGAATGGGGCAGTGGGGTGACGATCTCCCACTCCAACCTCCGCTTGGAAAGCAGCCCTGTGACCCCTCTCTGGTATTGGAGGGTACCTTTTGCTTGTAATTGTTTGCATGTAATTTACATAACTGAACAAGAGATGAAAAAAAAATATGCAAGATCGTCACCAACTGCCAACTTGGCACCGCACCTCCGCGTTGTAAGCTCAAAAACAGGCCCTGCACAAGACGCCAGAGAGCAAATGAACAACATCTGTCGCGCTTCAAATACGGTATAAACTCTCAAAAATATAGTCAGTACCTTTTAGATAGGAATCTCTCCTCATTTAGCACGGCAATCGCGTTCACACACAGCAGAGCAGCTTCGATCAGAGAATACAGACCCAGCGCCATCTTGGATGCTTGTTGGTGGGATAGTCCATTTCTTCAAAAGGGGCCGTCAAAATAAAACAAGACCCTTCTTCAATTTTTATCAAATCAAAATTGATTGCACCATGGAGTTAGAAGGAGATCCATGATTGCACTAACAATAGAATGATGAAGAACCAACAGTTAAACAAATTGCATTATTTTCTGTTAATTTGTTTATTAACCGTTAAAAAATTGCCAAAATAGACAATTTATTACACGTTTGACAAAATGCATTGTTGCACTTCCCTGTGAAAATTAAATGGAACGAGTAGCTCGAGGTAAGATATCTGAACATTTTCGTTATAAGCCGTACATGAACTGTGTAATCAAGGAGTTTATACAATGTCATTGGTTTCACTGCCTTTAATATGACATTATACCGCATGTAGTAACTTTGGGGATGGATTACGTCACCTTACAAAGACTTTCTCACAGCCAATGAGGTTTCGCCAAATAGTCTTGCGTCATATCAATGGTGTTTCCTCGGGTCACCCTGTATCAACACGTCATCCATTGAGAAATCTCAGCGATGGAGTGACGAAAATAGTAACATGTCGCAACCGGTGACTCCATATAGCCACGAACATGTAGTTGGGAATACAGGGAAAGATGACGTGTACTCCAGAACAGAGCCTTATGCTGACGTGTCTTTTTCCCTCTATTTATTCCAGCGAGAGTTCGGGCAAAATCATACCAACAGTTGGTCGTCTACTCGGAGGTCAGAACTTTTTTCACAACTCAGTTATTACTCTTCAATCGTGAACTTTCGTTGCGAAGTTGGCATCGAAAACGGTGACTGATACATTTTGTGAAGTATTTCTGGAGCCCACGACACCATTTGTAAGAGATGAAAGGAAGAGAGGTGGTACTAGTTCTTGTGCTTGTCTGGACGGCCGTGTGCAGTGGACAAGTCGCTCAATGCCAATGGGAAGCGCTCGCTAACCCCTTTTGGACTTTGTACGTTTGTCTTTACAAAATTTCTTTCATATAAGTTAGTTGTTTTTTTCAAAATATCTTTCAATATATCTATGTATAAGATATATTTTCAATGCACTTGCTTAGCTAACTTTTCATAAATGTTTTGTTCAGCAGGTCTGGAAAATAATCTCCCTTGGTGAATGCGGAACATCGCAACACTGTCCGTGAATGTGTTGACACTGTTTGTTGCTTTATTTCCAGTGGCGAGACACGGCCATTTGGTGACGTCTGGAGTCCTATGCGATGGCACCATCACCCTAGCCTGACCCTGCGTCACCACCCAGGCCATGCCGTCATGGCTCCACGTCCATTCCACATCCACCCCCTGCTGTGGAGCTACTCCCTTATGAATGACATTGACATGCTCACAGGGTTCCCCTCGCTGTACACTTGTCCGACACACCAGGTTAGGTTTTCTTCCGAAATTCATGATTTTTGTTCATCGTGTGAGTCATGAATTTCCTCGCACAGAATCCATTTATACAGTCACTCTCCTTCCAATAAAAAAGGTTACTAGTAACTTTATGCTTGATGTGTGTAAAACAGGAAGCGAGATGCAATAAACAAGAACAAAAACCATCCCAACACTACCAGTGTCAGCAGCAAGCTGTGGCAGATGAGGAAGAAAAGGGAACAAGAAGGCAGGAGCCTGCCAGCACAGCACGGGGACAACAGCATCAGGACCAGCAGCAAGAAGACATGGAGGACATGATACAGGTGTGGCAGCCACGTTCTTTGTCTAAACTACAGTACATGTATTGGGCATCAAGTAGATGTATTAATGGCTTCAATAAAAGTTTCTCCCTCTGTGGTTCTTTCCTGAGTTGTTTCCGTAGACTGTGGATTGGTGAATCCCAACGCTTCAATCTGTGGCTGTACGATGACCATTACAAGTGATGAGTTTCATGGCAGGGGGCTTTGTAGTATGTTACCCTGTGATGACTGTCAACTCTAACTACAAAGATAAAATCTCTTCACAGCCATGGGTTTCGCCTAAATCCACGGTCTCAGAATCTCCTGTCAGCACTTGTCAGCTCCTCACTTCTTCCTTCTGTCCTTGTCTCGTTTTGCTATAGGACACCTTCATGAGCACCATTCCATCCTGGACTGTTCTTATTCAGACCATTGCAGGCGCCAGTAGAACTGGTGCACGATCAAAGACAAAGTATGTCTTCTTTCTCTTCCTGTCCTTTTTTGCCTATCTTCAAAACTATGCCATTTTCACCTTCACACTGACATGGCCTACCCATTTTTCTCTGCTTGAAAATCAAACCTGTAAAAACTAGGGGAATTTAAGTTTTCATACTTACACACAACTTCTACCATGATGAGATGATGATATAATAATTGAATATATAAATCATCTCCAATTGATATAAGATGAAATACCATATGATAGATACAGTGGGGATATGATTGATTAGATTCAGGTTTCCACACTTTTGTAAGGCCACACCAATTTAATTTCTTGGTTAACGGATTTTTCTAGAAAAATAATGGAGCGGGCGGGCGAAAAAAATAAAAATAAAAACAGGCCTAGGCATCGTATTATGGCCCAAAATGGTACGATAGAAGCCAACACACCAGGCTGGTTCAAAATTTAAACAATGAATTTTGAACTTTTAATGATACCATTGCATTGAAGGATGGAATAACTGTAACAACTACGAAGAAAAGGACTGTTTTCAACTGTTCAGGGAAAAATATGAGCATTTTGCAGTTGATTCTGGATTTTTATTTTTATTTGCAAATCAGAAAAAAATGAAGCGGCGAATCCGTTAACCAAGAAATTAAATTGGTGTGGCCTAATAGATTGTTTCATTCATAAATGCCAATGCCTATGTTTGGTATGTCTCTTTTGTGCAGAAGAAAGACTGTCAAGGGTCCAGACAGACAGCAAAGAACTCACCGCTGCATGCAGTTCTGGAAGAAACAGAAAACAAGAGAGAAGTGGAAGAGAATGGGAGGAGGGATTGGCAGGATGAGCACCTGAGGAGGGAGAAGACTCAGCAGGACAAACTGGTGGGAGACAGGAGGGGATGGGAGAAAATGAAGGCACAACAAGAGAAACAGCTGAGAGAAAGAGAAGAACAGGCCAGGAGAAATGCAGCACAGCAACAAGCACAGCAGTCAGACAGGAGGGAATACATGCACCAGGTAAATATATGCACTTCCATCACTTGAAGATGAAACCTTGCAAACAGTTGAGGAAAAGACAGAGAGCATACTGGTATGGCTTTCTTGATCAGACAGAAAACATAGTGATATACTTTAGTACAATATGTATATATTTTCTATGTACATATTAGACCACTCAAAATCAGAGTACAGTTCTGTGTTATTGTACACTACAATGCTTTCTTAAAATTCTCTTTATGTAGAGGATGTCTGATTTACATATTATTCTTATATCATTCAACAGAGATCACAGGCCAGGCAACAGAGCCAGCACAACTCTCATCAACCAACATCCCACCAAACACCTCCCAAAGTCCCCATGTCAGAGGTTGTCTCTGTCCAAACAAATGGTTACTACCCTGAAAACATACATGTTAGGACTGAGGGCAGCCAGCTGATTGTCAGTGGTAAACAGACCTGCACCTGTGAGGAGCCGTGCTTTGAAAAAGAATTTGAGCGTCAGTATGCACTTCCGAGGGGACTGGACACCCGTAGTCTGCGAGCAACTCTCAACAGTGATGGACAATTGAGAGTGGAAGGACATGTGTACAGGGGAGTCACACAGAAGGGTGATGTTAGGGTGGAGGTACAAGGTGTAGGGGCGTGGCAGAGACCTCCGGTGGAGGATCCTACTTGTGGGGGCAGGAAATCTGGCTTCAGGTTAAGGAAAACTGCACAGAGAAGAAGCAGTGCTCCTGCTGCTACTGATGTGACAGAAGATGTGCCTAGGTTTGATAAGTACCTGGATGAGGAAGAGAATGATGGAGTCACGATTGAGGTAGTGGAAGAGTAAAGTGCACTGGCTAAACTAAACATATTAGTAGTTTGGACCCTTGTAGGCATTGGTGTGATGTATTAAGACAATATCTTTCAGTTTACCTCACTACAAAGTTAGGTACTACATGTAGTATTCAATGTCCATTACTGTGCATAGGGCATAAACTTAGACCATAGGCACATTTGGCAGCAAACTTCCATCTAGGTCATAACCACCGAGGGACATTCATTTGTAGCATTCTTCTGTTTAGACATCATGTGCAATACTAGCTAAGATGTAGTCTAAATACGAGAGCTTTACCTACAATTTTAATGTGTTTCATATCATTTTTTGGTAGTGGAACAACTTTTAGAACTACTGCACTGTAATAACACATAATTTGTTATTATTCAACGACATTGAGCAAGCAGGATATATGTTGCTCATTACATTTACCAAGGACGTTCTATCTGATACAACGTACTTGCATGTACAGAACATGAAAATGTAGTTTTGTTTTCCAAGTGCAGGTATTTTTCCCTGCCTATTGTATTTTTTTAAAGTATTATTTTCTCATTTTTCTTAATTTCAATTCTAAGAAATTATTTTGTACTTGCTCCTTAAATTTTTCCATTCCACTTTTCCTGTTGTGAATGTTGAAATATATGTTTAATAAAAAAAAAACAGTCTAAACCTTGCATCTGGTATTGTTTTGTTTCATTGCTTCATTCAGGGAAAAGTGACTTACAAAATGTACAGGCATGGACTGAACAGTAAAGATTACTAGTAGTAGGAAATAAGCAGAAAACACAGTCTTGTAGATTTATGAGAGACAGTCCATGTTTATGTTGTTTCTCAAGTTCTATGGGGACACAAAAAAGGACATGGCTATAACAAACCAAGTAAAATGTTGTCAATGTAGGATTTTGGTGTCAAAACTGGAAAGTATTCTGCACAAGGAATTTGAAGGAAATCTTCATGCTAATATTTACAGGCAATTTTAGCACATTAGCATCATTACTGGGTATTCCATATTTCCAAACCTGCACCCTGATACCAATAAATACACACTAGCTACATTTAAGCAACAAACAGCAGCTTTTCTACAAGTTTTTCTCTTTTTTTCTCAATGAATATTAACATTAATATATATAATGTCAGGGGCGTGATTGGTTAGTTGGTAAGATGGCAATCACTTGGTTGACGATCATCTGAAAACCAATCTTCTCATTGTTACCAGTAACTGTAGATCAATCTATCTGTACCTGCATTACAAAGGAATTGCTACCCCTCAAAGCTTCTATACATCGTAGATGCTATGGTTTGGGATTTACTAATACTCTCCAGCAAACATGGAATATATGTACATAAAGCATGGTACAATGCCGTGTGTGGATGAATGTAAAGCAGCATCTTTACATGAAACTGCAGTTGTAAAATTTACGAGCTGGGAATTCATCAAAACAGTTCAAATCCTAACTTGTGCTTTCTTGATAATGATTCTGAACATTATTCCAAATTAGGTAAACTCATATGTACTACAGGTGTCATATTACAAGAATACAACTACTAGAAAGAGATTCAAGAACATCACTCTCACAGGGTCGTTTCTTGTCAACAGTGCTGACTTTTAGAAACCATACTTTGCCTGGGTCTGTCTTTTGGTCATCCTGTTTTGTGACCACTGGTTCTTCAACTCCAATTCTCTCTCCTTTGCCTGTGACAGAAAAGACCAACATGATACAAAACAAAACAGAGTCTTTATTTGTAGTGACTACAAAACAAAACATTTTCCCACAAAAGTATGACTATCATGGGTTTACTTTGGTCTGACAAAATCTCTAAGCAAATTACAGTTATGTTATTGTGAATTACAGGGGGACCATCCCATGTACAAAACCAATTTGTACATAATATATTACATGTTCTTACCTGGAAGGCAAGGTAGGTGATCTGGTGTTTGTTCCTCTGTTGGCGAGACGGCAGCTTTCCTGATTTCTGTAAAACAAAGCATCACACAGTGAGTACTGCTGTGGTCAAACACCAGGGATTCAACCGAAGTTCTTTTGGCCTATGGACAGTTTTTTGTCCAAGTTTGGGTTACATCAACAAATTGCACCTGCTCTCACAAATAAAACAACTAATCATTTTGTAAAAGACAAAGTCTCAGGGCTTGTATTAAAACTTGTTTTCTCTTCAATGTCTTTTGAAAGTTGTACTGACTTTTGACCGTGACAGCATGAATTCCCTTTCCTCTGCATCCATCTGTATTTTCCAGTCCTCCATCTTGGCACGCTGGCTGTCCTCGTGTACATCAATAATTTTGATTTCCTCACCACGGTTTTTCTTTCCCTGCATCCTCACAAACTGTACAGGCAAAACAATGGAACCTTATACCTGAATCATATGGTTATTGTCTGTTATACTACAGGTATTACAATACTAAATGTAACGTTACATCATTCAATATTGAACATGTCAATAGGGTGAAAAAACAAGCAAGTTTCAGATAACATTGTAGTCATCTAACAGATGCATCATTACTAGTAAGTACATGTTTGTACATCTGTATGTTGTAAAGGCAACAATTCATCATTGTTCATCAGTAAATTACCCAAACAAAAAGTGTAAAGTCACAAGTTTATCCAATCTGCCACCTGATGATACAAGAAATGTTATAATCCTGATCAGTTTCGATCACAAACCATTTCATCCTGGACGTACGGCCCTGCCACAGGCTGTGGTGGGGACTGCAGCTGACTGGAACCCTCCTGTACTGTGTCATCAGAGTATGACTGAAAACACACATTAAAGGTACATTACATACTGTTACATACATGTAGTACCTTACTCATAGTCATACTGGAGGTGAAACCAAACTTTCATAAAAAAATTTTTCACACACATCACAAAGAAATAATTACAATTGTAAGTAGGAATGACAGTATGATTGAATGAATACTAGTAATTGAATGAAAGCAAGTGAATGCTAAATGAACACTGATCAAATCGTATTCCTTCCCATTTCAAGCAGAGTAGTGGATAGTTTTACCTGCTGATTGTAGTCTGAGTAGTCATACGGTTGGTTGTACTGCATGTAATGGCCAGCCTCGCTGTACTGAGTGTACTGGTTAGGGTCCACATACGGCCCTGGGTAGGTTGAACTTGCCACACTTGTAGGCATTACACTTGAACTACCCGCAGCCGTGCTGTAGTTGCGTGTGGGCTCTACAGAAACGGAACTGCAACTTCAGGGTCTGGGCTTGGACTGGCTTCATCGTCTTTTGACTCTCCGAGAGAGAAGAAGTTCCTTGACTGGTCCTCCTCATCACTACCATCATCCTTTGCACTGTCTTCTTCCTTTGTGAGTTTTTTCAACATGTTGAGTTTGGCAAGTTTCGCTGCAGAAGCCGTCTGTATGGGTTCAGCAGGGCCAACTCCGACTGGATTTTTCTTACTTGGATACCACAGTGGATGGGGATGCTGTAGAATTCTGACCTTGTGACTCCCTTTTAGAAAGAAGACATACCTGTAGAAGTAGCTGGCTTGTTCTTTGTAAGGGTATAAGGAACAAAGTCCTCCTTCTTGTTGAATATGGTGGTGTTTTCTTTCACGCTGGATGATGTAACTGTTGATGATGGAGCTACTGACTTCTTGTTGAAAATGGAGGCAGCTGCACTCCCCTTGGGTGCAGGGAGGAGAGATGCCAAACCGCTACCCTGCATCGATGCCTTTTGTTTCTTTGGCGCAGGTTCATCCTCCTCATCTGAGTCCCGCTGTAAAGGAAGAGAGATACAGAGTTAATGGGTACAATGAAACAGTTTATGNACTCCCCGAGTGCACTTAACCCTGAACCACCCCGTTACAGAAGAGATGGCACCCATGCAGTACTAGAAGAACAGGCAGATTGTACGAGCGCAGCGGACCTAGGGGGTTTGCGTATCACTATCAGCGCGCGAAGTGAAGACGAAGTCGCAATGTATACTTGACTTGAAAAGCTTTAAGCACCATGTTTCACTTTACCTGAGGATGATTGTTGTACTTCTCCATACCTTATACTTACAGCTTCCACGCATTCACTTAACAAATATGCATTAAGGCAAGTGATAGTGGTATTCCTTGGAAGAGAGCAAAGACGGACGATTTATGTCTCCAGCAGTTACCAACATAAAATTGTACCAATTTTCCATTAATTATGCAAATTACGTCTTCATTTACATAATCAATATCTGCCAATGATTTTGTCGCTTTCAATTGCATATGTCACAAGTGTTTCATAGCCCTAATATGGAATAAAGCAGATTTATAGAATGTCCACATTAATTATGAAAGTTAGATCCTGATTTGCATAATTGTAGTTTAATTGTGTCAAGCATCACTTAAGCTACCTACATACAAAAAATCACGACGACCCGTCAAATGGTTGTTTAGGTATCCTCTCTCGGAGAGTTTTCAAACAAATCATCCTGCATTGAAAGGGCTGAGACACAGCACATTTTCTGTATCTCTTCGTATTCCCGTCTAAACAGGGAAAACGCAGTGCCACCGAATCTGTTCTGTTCTCCGTGACCTCATTTCCCTTCGCCATAACCTCAGGCCAAAGTTGGCAGTCTGAGCACTCTCAAGGACACAGCTTGTGGCGCTACATACACCGATACTCCCTCAGGTAAACAGGAGTATGTGCGGCGAGTATGTGGCCTTGAAGCTGTGGTGTGTTCAACTTTAAACAACTCCTGCAATCAAATGTGCAAAGATTGAGTGTAACAAGCCGTTCGGTGTGATATAGCTGGTCCATTTTAGCGATGTTTACCATGAAAATAACGTATGTGGCTTATTTCTCCCCCTGGTGTGAGTTTTTAGGTCCCGAAACCTCTAAAAAAAAGCAGAAATTTGCCCACGAAAACGGACGGGCGAGGCGTGGGGAGGGCGCTGTTGACGCCTGCATGACCCCCAAAAGGTCGAAGGTCATGGGTAACGTCCGTTGTGCAATCTTAGCCGATTTAGCTTACACTACAACGCGAACCTGTCTATATTAGCAACCGCTAATATTTCTATCTAGTGGCTAAAGGTTTGATGCTCATTTTATGCTTTCCGTTCATGTGTGTGCAAACTGCCTGTGTAAACTCGCACAATCATGGTACGTTAAAGCTTTAACTGTTGGTAACGTTAACATTAGTATTTTATCAACGGTACGCACAGTTTCTTGGAAACTAAATGTTGACCTATCGATTACCTAATGGTAATGCGTGTCATGCCACCAAATATCTAAAATGTTAGCACAAGCCTTGTACAAAGGCTGTTCGAATATTATTCGCTCATCAGGGGTCAACACGATCCAAAGTACAGTGACAGGTTATTTCCGGGTTGTGCGTTCTACCACTTTCGTCAAATATTTTGACGACTTCTCATTGTTCCAGATTTTTTTAACAATGAAGGTTCAATATGGGTACAATATATGTACTTGAATAAGGATGTAATGTCAATCTTTCTCGGTCCAGAATCGATATCATTCACTAGTGGGTGGCCATAGAAATGATAAAGCAGCTCAATAAAGGTGACACAACTTATGTTATTCAGACAGCGACTCAGTCCATCAATGGGACGTCTTCATATCATGCCATCCCAACCAGCTGCCCTACGTCCTAGGGATCCTGACACAGGCGTTGGAGGACATCGGCCAAAAGGTCAGACAGTTTTCAAGTCTCCGCCTTTGTCTGTGTATCAATATTCACAGGGCAACTTCCTGATTTAATCATCCAGCATAGCTAGCGAACAGTACTTACCCCATGGTCACTCCGTTACAGTGTGCTTTTATGACAAGAAGACATGGCTCTAAGTTAGATAGGGCTTTTTTATACTAAGTTACTGTGGAATAGTGAAGAAAATATGTAGAGAAAGTTGATCAGTGCTGAGTAATGCAAGAATCATTGACATTGTAACACGACGACGCAGGTGTATCTATATGAGAGAGATTCCGAGCCCGGTGCCCCCATCGCAGATAACATCTTTCAGGCTGCCATGGCGAGCAGGAAAACTGTCGTGTGCTTCACTGAAGACTACCTGCACTCGGAATGGAACCTGTATGAGGCGATGGTTGCACAAGGTGTAAAACCCAGGTAATATTGAATCATCATACCACGATGCAATTGTTATAGACACAAATAATTCCAATGTACTAAACTAAGTCATGCATGAAATGCGAATACATAACACACATTCAAATACATTACACGTTACACAACGTTATATACAAGTAGTACATCAGTACATCAACATAACAACCTACATGATTTCAAATGACATTTTTTCCGGTAATCAACATGCGTATAAGCGATTCCACTCTACTTCTAGTGCGCTTATACAAATGACCGACTACTGGTTGGAGGAGATTGACAAGGGTAACTTGGTAGGAGCTGTCTTGTTAGATTTCAGTGCGGCTTTTGATGTAATTAATCACGACATCTGTTTGGCCAAACTGAATAGTTATGGGTTTGCACAATCTGCCATAAACTGGACAAGAAGTTACCTAGAAAACAGAAAACAGGCAGTTTTTGTAAATGGATCTTTTTCGTCATTCATAGAAACAAAATGTGGCGTACCTCAGGGCAGCTGCCTCGGACCCCTACTGTTTTGCATCTTTACAAACGACCTGCCCACGGTAACTAATCAGAGTACAGTAGTTATGTATGCAGATGATTCAACCCCATCCACATCAGCTTCTGATATAACAGGATTACAAGATAAGTTGCAGGCAGACTTGTCACGGATATGGGATTGGGTGAGAACAAACAAGCTAGTTCTGAACATAGGTAAAACAAAATCAATCGTCATGGGTACACAACAGAAACTTAAAAGGGAACCAAAACTGCAACTTTCCGTTGATGGCATAAGCATTTCACAGG